ACTACAGCACTTAAATCAAGGATGATGATCTGCTATGTGTGATGCTGTAAGTAGTAGTAATAGTGATGACCCTGAGTCTAAAAGACTCATTGTCTAAGCATTGGGTGTACATAGACCAAATTGTATCCCAAAGAAGCACAGTCTGCACACAGAACAGTGGTTTCAGCTCATTACCAGCTGTTGTCGGGGGAAGCTAGGTGAAAACATGCCAACCTCAAGGAGAAAGCAAAATCCTCCTTATTTGAATAGGTAGCACTCACCCAGGCGCTTCTTCACTTCAGTGTGGAATAAACAGCATGTATGCCCCGTGCTGTGTCCCCAGGACGTGTGCGAATTTCAATCTCCTTAACAGGGCTAATGCACCAAAATCCTTACAAATGGGATTTTGAAAACTCTTCATAATGTTAGAAACAGCACAAGAAAGTGACATCAAAATTTGACTATGCTGCCAATGCAGCTTCTTTTGTGCACAGCATGTTATGTTCTGTCCTGAAACACACTCAGAAAGCGGGGAGGACATCTGCAGTTCTTATCAATTAATATTTCTGTAGCACGTCTACCTACGCCATGTTGTTCAAAATGGTCCAAAAATGAGCATATACCGACAAATGATCTCTAACCAGCAACCAGTTACCTCCGGCCTTAGCTAAATTCAGTCCAGACTGCCCTACCCTTCCAGCCCTGCCCCGGCTCCTCCCGCAGCTCCCGTGGGCCTTCACTCCCTTGCCCTGGCTTGGGGTGGCAGCAATGGGATCATGCCCTTTTGAGATGGGGGAAACTCTAGGAAGTTGTCTCCCCTTCATCCCCCACATCATGGCAGGGACCCAGGAAATGGAGGAGGAGACACCTGTGCTGATCGGAGGAAAGAAGAACATGGGAGCAGCTCAGAAACGCTCGATTGTTTTTACAGCACCCACCCACCCGGTGATCCCTTGCCTGGGACGTACCCTGCCTGCTCCCCGCACCTTGCCTGATGGGCTGCTCTGCCCCAGCCTGGGACGAGCACCGGCACGAGGTGGTGTGTAACAGCCTCTCTTGCTGCTCTCAGCCAGAACCTGGAACGCTGTAAGCACAGCTCAGCCAGTCCCTGCTTCCAGAATAGTTATGAATGGAGAAGTTTGGGGTCTCTCTCTCTTTAATTTGGCCCCTAATCGAAGAAACCTACCGCAGATTTAGCCATTACAAAATTGTGCCATGACATTTGTCACAGCCTGGAGAGGATCACTCAAGTCTTGGAACCCGTCCCCACTGGCTGTGACAGGCCACAGGAACCGGCTGGGCGATGTCGGTGGAGATTCCTCCTCCCCGGGGCACGCTGACGTGGTGGCACTGGGCTGGCGCTGCGCAAGGGAATCACCACCTCTCGCAGGAGGTAGGAGCGGTGCTCCCCAGACAATGGCAGGCCTGGGGACTGATGCAGCCACTCCTTACGCTAGACAAACTTTGAAAGGAAAAGCAAACTGAGTTTATTTGACTGAGCTGCTTAACAAGTCAGCATCTGTTTCTTGGACGAAGAAAGGGGAAATGAGTTAATATGCCAAAGAGTTTTGAGACGAAGTGACTTTTCCCATTTTGACAGACCTTCATGATTGTTTCCTGGTTTCCTCCAAGCAGCAAGCTTCCCTGTCCAGTTAGCCCCAAAGACAACTTACACAGCTGTCTGCAAGTAGGATGCAACCTTTTAGATCAACTTCACCCTTTGGCTTTGCTTTCTTTGAGACGAGCACGAGCTTGCAGTGAAGTTCCCCTTTTTATCCCGCTCTCTGGACAGAGTTCTGCTCGGTGTAATTCCACCTTTATTGCTTTCTAAATCTCCATCCTCAGGTCCCAATTTTTCATCCACCTATAGCCACGGTTGTGAAGGAATAGCCCTGGAGTGGTTCTCCTGGTCGGGCAAACCCAATCAGGCATAATACCGGGTCAGCTGCAAGTAAGTATCACAGCATAATGCAAATGCCAATGCCTTTTCTCTTGCCAAAAGTTAGGAAAAGTTTCGTCATCTCCAAGGATATATGACCTTGCATTCATACGGGTTTAATAATATCTCACTTCAGAGCTATTCATTACGCAAGCTGTAAGTGAGGACAATGAATGAAGCTCATTAGCAGTTTGATACAGGCTAGATACGATGGCAGACAAACAGCCATAGGGACAAAAGTTCATTTGAAGTAGGTGACTCCTAAACTCAGCATGCCAGGATGATGGACGGGACACTCTGGCCGTGCTGGCGTTCTTGGTTGTTGTACTTTTGTTCCCTGCTGCTAAGCATGGCAAAGGAAATGTTTCCTGAGTCTCTAGCTGACGCTTCCTTAAAGCCTGCTCAGCTCCAGGTGCACAAAGCAACCTCTGCTCCCAGGCAGCCAGATGGCTAGCTGCAATCCAGTCACTCTTTAATTAACTTTGGATTTTTTTTCCTCTCTAGGTTGTTTCTGGGAGAAAGGGAGCTGACAGCATGTTTGTTTACATGAGATTGATTTGGCCTGGCAGTTCCCTGGGACTATACAAAGAATTTTGAAGTGTCTTTGGGTTTTGTTATCACCACAAAAGGAGTAGAAGCTGACAATCCAAGGGGATTTCTAGGATGCATCTAAAGAAGATATGTAAGTATGCAGGTTTATTGCAAGTCATATGCAGATGGGCAGCACACAAAAACAAAGCTGATGAGGGCAAACTAATCTGAAGCCTTGGTTACTGCGCACTGTTGAGCTGCTGCAATGTGTAATTAACTTTAAAAGCAACTACAACAAACACTGACCTGTAAGCAGCTCCTCTTAAACCCTGTGGGGTTGCCTGCAAAAGTTACATTAACGCACATAAAGCAACTGTTGGATGTAAAGGTTCAAGATGTATATCCCTCTGCACAGAAGAAAATGCCAGCCAGCATTTCTCACCTGATCTGGATTAAAAAGCAGAAAGCTGTAAAGAATCTGCATTAGGAGTTAGCAACTAAAATGTCCAGGTATAAAATGAACAGGTAGAAAGAGAAAACTATTTAAGTAACAGATCAAAATTAAATTTATGCTGCAATGCAGAGATGTGAAACAGCTTTTACACTTGTTAACTAGCTGCCCCTAGCAATCAAGCTGTGGTAGCATGTACGTCATATTCTGCTGAGACCCCAGCTAAATGCCAAGCAGGCTAGCAAGTGCCAAGGTCCATCTTGCTACAAAGGACAAAAGCATGGTCTAGAAAAGAGCAAGTAGAAGGGAGGGTGGGGAAGCTGTACCAGCTCACCAGGTCTGAACATTGACAGGGTAGAAAGGATCAGAAAGAAATGAGGCAGCCAAATAACAAAGGAAAAAGGACTATGGAGTGTTTGTCCTTTGTAAGTAGTAAGGCAGAAAGTGCTGAAGGAGATGCATCAGAGAAGAGGTGAAGCAGTGTAATTTTGAATCAGAATGGTCTTAAAGTAAAGGATGAAGCACACTTCCCACATCTGTCACTGAAGGGAGATCTCCCTAGATGGAGAACTTTTTAAAATTACTTTGAGGCCATGTTGCTTCTGACATCAGCATTTTGCAAAGCAAGGCTTTGGGACAAATGACGTACATGTCACAGGCTATAATTTCACTGCAGAGACTAGACAAGGGCAGAGCTGCTGCGCAAGCGTGCCTGGAAAATCGCAGAGGTGCACCCTGCTATTTTGCATCAGAGATTGTTTTTTTAATTATTATTTGTTGAATCATATCCCAGATGAACAAGCAGAGACCTCCCCCTGGTGGCAAGTAAAAAAGAAGTATCAATGATTTTTTACAGTCATGTCAGTCTAAGGCTATAAATGAAATAAAGAGCATCAGACAGGACCTATCTTTATTAGGTCAACTGATACAGCTGGGGAAAAAAGACAATTTTGCAAAACACAAATCCTTTTTCAGGACTTACATAAAATTATTTACTTTGATACAACTTAGGAATAGTTGCCGAGTTCAATTTCATGGTTAATTTATTAGATAATTTGCAAGAGAAGCAGAGGATAAAACCTGTAGAATAACTTCTAGTAGCTGAGCAGGGTAACTGTAATGTGCAATAATCCCATTATTTCTACTGAGTCCTTGTCTTTTAGTACCCAATTGAGTTTTGGTGTCTAAATCCCTTAAAGGCAGACTGGTTGGGAAAGTAAAATTCATTACACTACTGAACAGTAAAAATGGACTCAGTAGACAAGTTTGGTTTATTGTATACAACAGTTTTCCCCAACTAATGTCCTCAGATAGCTCTTCAAAAGTTATGCGTAGAAAATTATCTCTCTGTGTTTGTTATGGGAAGTTACGGCAAGTACCTTTTGGACAGGATTTTTTCCTTTGGGTGAATAGTTTGGTGGATGAGGGGAGAGCAGTAGGTGTTGTTTTGGCTTTACTAAGGCTTTCGACGCTGTCTCCCATAGCATCCTCATAGACAAACTGAAGAAGTACAACTTAAATAAATGGGCAGTGAGGTAGATGGAAAACTGGCAGAACTGCTGGGCTGAAAGGGGCTAGTCACTAGTGAAGTACCCCTGGGGTCGACACTTTAACGTCTTCATTAACAACCTGGATGAACAGAGAGTCCACCGTGAGCAAACTGGCAGATGATACAAAACTGAGGAGAGTAGTTGATAACCAGATGGTTGTGCTGCCATTTAGGACCTCAACAGGCTGGAGAAATGGGCAGAGACGGTTGTCAGAAGTTCAACAAAGGGAAATGCAAAGTCTTTCACCTGGGGTGGAATAACCTGTGCACCAGTACAGGCCCCAGCCCAGGCTGACAGGCTGGAAAGCAGCTTTGCAGAGGAGGACGTGGAAGTCCAGGTGAAGAACAAGTTGACCATGAGCCAGCAACGCGCCCCTGTCGCAAAAGCAGCCAACAGCATCCTGGGCTGCATTAGGAAAAGCACTACCAGCAGATCAAGAGAGGTGACTTTTTTCCCCTCTTTTTTGTTCCAGCTCCAGTAGATAAACACTAGTTATTACCCTGCCCTCAACAGTATAGGTAGTGTAAGAATGGCTGAATTATAATTACATGAAAAGCAACTGTTGTTTTTTAATTATAAAAAGGAGAAATCTTCTTCAGCTGTGACATTCAACATTAATAATCACTGCAATACAAACAAAAATATATTTCCCCATCCTTAAGAATGGAAAGCTATGCCCCTTACCACAAAACACTGTCCCCATGCTTATGTTTAAAAAGGTTTAATTTTCACCCTGGTACAAAAATACAGTACAATGTGATGGCAAGGCATTCGCCAAAAAACATTCAAAGAATAAAAGGGGAACCCCCGTAAAGCTTCAACATAACCCACCCTCACTTGATAGAACAATCAAAAGGTGAGTGCACAAGGGAAAAGTTAAATTTCTGCCCAAAGGCAAATAAAGATGAATCACACACAGTTTTACACAAAAATATGTTTGCAGAGCTAATAATTTCACATGCTACTTGGACATTCATGAAATTTATTCTACTTGGCTTAGTGGCAGAATTAATGGTTTGGGATGTCTAGAAAACACCTGGCCCAGGAACATGCCCCATTCATAGGAATTCCCAGTAAAAACAATGGGATCACATAATACCAGTGAAAAAAGGGGGATCCAACCCTGATTAAGCGTCAAACTGATGGCTACTTCTAGTTACTCCAATCACACTGTTTGTCCTCAAATGTTTTGCCCTACACACTTCCCTTTTAACACCAAATATTAGTGGTTGCTCAAACACACAAACTGATGTGTTTGCACATTACCTACTTGCAAATAACCATTACAGTACAAACTGCCAGGCAGAGGAGGAGATAACACTGTAACTGATGTATGTGTGTGAACTCCAGACAGGGTTTAACCTAACATTGTTGACAGGAGAATTATGTCCCTCCAGTGCATCTACATTCGTGGTCTGTTTAATCATTTCCTTTAGAGTTTTGAAGTGATGAAAAGCATCATTCAGTGTATTCATTATAGTTCATCTCCCAGGTGTTTTTGTTTGAAAGCATCACCTGTGAGCTTCTCCTGGGCCTCCTTCATCCCTTGGACAACTGAAAGATTAGACAGAGAGACAGCAACTATTAATCTCAAGATGAAAACATCAAGGTGGCCCGGTAATGAAAGTGTTTTAAAATAACACAGTTACAGAATGTAGATCTACAAATTAACCCGTGGAAAAAAAATACCCAGTCCTGTGCCCTCTTCCCAACTATTTGTAGTTGGATCATGCGAACTGCATGATTTTCCATGCCAGAACTGGAGACAAAGTTTAGGTCTTATAGACATTATAGTAGGTATTAAGGTGAATCATGATTCTGAACATGGTTCCTCAAGGCATAAGAGCGCCACTCACTCAGCCACAGCTCCCAGTTAATGCTGTAAAGTATCATCATTTTTCTCCACTCAAAAGTGAAGGTGTGTCCTTCACTCAGGACACACCCAGAGTTCCATCTCACTAAAAATGCACTTCAAACTACTTCGCACATACCTTGATCAGCATTGGTATAGAAATACTTGTAGCTGGGGTTTCCTTTCTCATTTATGATTTCTGGGTGGACTTTTCCACTAGGGTCTATGAAACAAGAAATCAGACAGGAAATTTAGGTGGTAACAGTGAGAACATAGTCCTGTGAGTGGATACAACAGCTGTGGATGCCCTACCCATGAAAAGGATTCTGGGAATGTAACCTCCATCAGGACTAAAGGCTTCATCCTTTGGCTCTTCATCATCCTACCAAAGCAAGACAGAAGACAGGGAACATATTAGCAAGGTAACTAACAAAACACAGCACTCATTTTAAAGAAACAAGCTATTGCCTTCAGATTCCATTTACACTGAGCAATTTACATCTTGAACAGACACTAGGTAACCGCAGTATCTTCCACTCTGAAAGGAAAGAAAGTTGTATTTACCTACACAAGTAACATTTGTGAAAATAATATTTTTTTTTTTGTTCTGTCAACTTGCATTAAACGCTCCACTTTGGTGTAGGAATGTTTGATATGTCATGAGAGAATGAATGTAAATTCCTTTACTGCAGCAACAGTATGATACAAGGTGTAAACTGTTAAAGAGCCAATGGCAGAGAGCCAGGTTTATAAACACAATTAAAATAACCAGACTGAAGAAAATTCTTTTTAAAACAATCAGCTATATCAATCAATGCTGAATACCTATTCAGGAGTGCATGATTTAGGATGTACACAAAACAGGACACAACCAGTTAAGTAAGATTTCAAATGCTTAATTACTAGGCAGTAACATGGATACAAATCAGAGGGCAGCCTACCTCAAGGTTGACCATAACAAAATTATGGGCAAGTTCAGAGATCTCCTTGGATTCAGCAAACTTTGGCTTTAAAGCTAATTAAGGCGGGGGAAAAAAAAAAAAAAAAGAGAGATGAATAAAGACAGTGGAAAAGATTTCAGGTTTTCAGGTCAGCATCAAAATCTCAACTTCATTCCTCCCTGCAGAGAGCTGGTACTTTTCAATAAGCAGTGAGTATATGGAATATATGTATCAAACCATTCAAGCCAGGCTCAGAACAGCAGGTAACTGAAGCACTCCTTGCTGGGCCGCCATATGATGAAGCCTGGCCAACAGACATACGCGGTCATATTTGAACCAATGCGACAGAAACAAAAAGCTTGCTGTAAACCACCGGTTCTCACTCAACCAGCTCATCCTTTAAGCTTAGCCATTATGCCCAGCTTTTTGTTTGTGATAGTGAAGGAGACAAAGCCTCACATTCAAAGAACCACCAGCTGCAAGTAAGGCAATTTACACTTAATTCTTGAAGATCATTTATTCTGTTCCATTTTTTATAGCCAAGTGCAGGAGAAATTGCAGCCCCTACAGAAGCGCAGCATTACAGCTGTTAGTTTGCTGGCCTTTAAGCATGGATGGCTTTTGGCAGTGCTAACAGGTAAAGCGGTGTGGTATTACACTGCTCTAAATGGAATACAAATACCTTTAGCTACATTTTGAATGTGAAGTTCATGTTTCTCATGGTTACATGATTTGTATACAAAAGTTCATTAGAAATTTCAGTGAGCTCTAGTATTAAACACACTTTACCTTTGCAAGCTCCACACCAGGACTTGTGGATGATAACCATAAGAGGCAAACCACTGAAAAAAAAAAAAAATTGTCAAAGAATCCAAATTCTATTACATGTATGTTTTAACAGTCAAGACTTCTACAAAGGCTAAATATAACGGAAAGTAAGAGAGATGTAAAGAGATTCTGCTGTGTTTGAAGGTTGTCTTGCAAAGTTTTCCAGTCTTAAAACATGTATAGTAATAATTTATTATAACTGCCACCCAGTAACTGGTCTTGTAGAGGAGGAGACTTTCTCTTTGGAAAGTTTGCTCTTATTAGTTTAGATTTGCTCAGATACACAACTGGTCATGCAGTTTTTTACTGGAGTGGTTACTAACACCTTGTTTAGCTTGAGAGATCTCAGGATGGATTTTTGTGGCTGCTTAACGCACTCCAGTGGATGACAGGCATACACCCATCCCGCTCCCCACTACGATCTGTATGTTTCAGCCACCTCCTGTGACTAAGACTCTCCGCTGAGCAATAATCAAACACAGTAACCTGGCAAACCCTCTGGCTGCCAGGCTAGTTTCCTACATGTTGGTATGCTGAAACAAATCTGTGACAAACGTGACAAGTGCCAGGACTGAGGAGGAGGGGGGGCCTGTGTGGACCTCCAGCCTAAATAAAGTGCAATGCAAAAGGACCAAAGCTATTCTTTATTATTCTCTCTCTCTTCCCAAATAATTCACTTGACCTTTACTACCTATACTACTGTCTTTGTTTCGGCTGGGATAGAGTTAATTTTCCTCCCAGTAGCTGGCATAGTGCTGTGTTTTGGATTTAGTATCAGAATAACGCTGGTAAGACACTGATGTTTAGTTGTTGCTAAGTACTGCTTATGCTAGTCAAGGACTTTTCAGCTTCCCATGCTCTGCCAGGTGCACAAGAAACTGGGAGGGGGCACAGCCAGAATAGTTGATCCAAACTAACCAAAGGGCTATTCCATACCATATGACGTCATGCTCAGTATATAAGCTGCGGGGAGTTGGCCGGGGGGCAGCAATCGCTGCTTGGGAACTGGCTGGGTATCAGTCAGCAGGTGGCGAGCAATTGCACTGTGCATCACTTGCTTTGTATATTATTATTACTGTTATTATTACTACTGCTATTTTACTTTATTTTATTTCAATTATTAAACTGTTCTTATCTACACCCAGGAGTGTTTCTCACTCTTACTCTTCTGATTCTCTCCCCAATCCCAGCGGGGCAGGGGGAGTGAGCAAGTGGCTGCGTGGTGCTTAGTTGCTGGCTGGGGTTAAACCACAACAACTACCCAGAGGTTAAGTTTCCATCGCCCTGAGGTATGTTTTATTTAACCCTGCTCTTCAAAAATCTCTTTAGCATTTTACCTTCTGACAAAGTCAAGCTTACCAAGTTCAATTTCTCTAAGCTCCTTCATAATATATTCAGGCTGCGTTACATGATTAGACAGAGGCCTTAAAGACACTACAAATTTCACATATTTCCTGTTGTTAGTGCTGGTGATCCAATTAATCCACCACTTCACTGCTCCTGACTATTTTGCATCAATTTTACCTTTCTAACAAGAAAAACGCTACAACTACAGGTGACTTTTGTTGCTCTTGAGCACACCCAGGTAGTACAACACTTACCTCCGTGCTTTCTGCATACGGAAGGCCTTACTAACACTTTAATTGTTTCTACCATCCAACAGCTGAACTGGTGAAAGCTGACTAGGGCAATAAACTAAGAAAGACTAAGAACTGGGTATCTCATCCCTTTTCTCTTACCAGTAAACCCCTTAAGCTATGACAGAGTATTTAAGGGAAGCTAGTAATAATGATATAGCTTCCAGAACAGTAAGAACAGCCTAAAACTAGATGAAGGAAAAGAAGGAATCAAGACAGACACACAGAGAACATACTACATGGATACTTCTTCCAGGATATGCCAAGCAAAGCAAAGTTTGAGCTTTCTGCTATTGTAAACTCTGTTACCATTTTGGGGGTTAAAAATGAAGCAAATTTCTCACAGACTGAGAAATTACAAACACCTTTGCACATGACGGCAACTAAATTAATTACTAGCAGAACTGAAGTACAAGTTTTTTAGCTGTAGATAGATATAAAAGGAAATCTCTACTTAGCAGCATTCAGTTTTGGCCTTCAGAACCAGGAAAGGGTGGAGAGGAAGCAGTTAACATTTAGAGTAGTTCAAACAGAAGTCTCCCATTTATAACTAACCAATATGTTACAATCCTTACATAGGACTCTGCAGTAAGGAGCAAGAATACACGTTTCCCTAGTAAAGCTTGTATTGCATCAGCGTCCTCTCCCTGATGATGAAAACCCACTTTTTTTTTCATTGTTTCCATACAGTCCAACATGATTTTGCCTCTTTCTTGAGGAGAGGTTGATTTAAGTCTGGAAAATACACATTGTTCTTATCATCAAGGATCAGTGCTTCATGTCAGAAGAGTTCAATCACCTGGTAAACAGTACTGCAGCACACTTTTTTTTTTTTTAAAGTTAAGAGAGATTTTTTCAAAGCAGATTTTAAATGGAAGTGCTCACAGTCCTGAAATGCCAACACTTAGCCAGTGAGAACTCACAGAAGTTTTAAAGATACTGAATGTATTTTCTCAGCCTTACTCTCTTTGACTGGGAAAATGAACTTATTTACATCAAAACATTTTTGTAGTCATTTCTCGGTTCTGCAATGTGTAAATCCACCTAGCAGCTGGTATGTCAGATAAACAGCCACTGTAACTGAATTAACCCTTCCTGCCCCACTTTAGCATTTCCTCCCAGGCAGCACTACACATACAATTAAAACCTAAAGCCACAATTTATTAAAATGAGGGATGAAGTTTATCTAAGCTATATACGTGGTATAGCAAAGACCGAAATTAGTTGAAACTAAGCACAAAACTAAGTTACCCATCACAGCTGGTACAGACTTATGGGAGAGTTCCACCCAGAACAGACACTGTCATTTTAGCTCATTTTTCCTATGAGAGCACTCATTCATAAACAATTAGTGGTTTTAAAGGTGTTTAATGATGACCTTGCAGAGAAAAGACATCGCAAATTATTTCAATAAAATAGTCCTGCAGGTAAATTAAGACTTTACTCCATTTAAGGCACACATTTTATTGTTAAACCCGAAACGGAGAAGTTTTGAGTTTGCTAAGCCAGCACCCTTCTGTTGCGCAGTTTGCAAATCTATCTCTTAGTTTTCGGTAAGATTTTCTGAAACAGTCAGATCCTAAAAATACAGCCTGCTCCAGTTCTAGACCCAAAGTGTGTTCTGCAGTTTGACATTATCTGGAGACAGCCTTGCAAAAACTATCTTCTTATTCAAGACATACGCATGCCAATGTGGAGGGGAAAAGTTTTCCCTATGGCCACCAGCTTTTGCGTTTTCATGTTCAGACATTACTTGATTACTGGGGTTTAGGTCTCCATAGGAGACTTCACTTGCTTGGGGATGCAACAGTAGGTCTCCTTCTTGAAGGATGCAAGTGGGGAGAGTGTGGGGGTGGAAGAACAGCTTCCCTACAGGTCCTCTTAGCAGTATAGCTTGCTCAGCTGCTGCAGGGGCATGGCATCCGTCTTCCCAGAGCTGCTATTGCCATGTGAGTTGGACTTGATGATCCTTACGGGTCCTTCCACCTTGAGACATTCTATGATTCTAAGATCTGATATGCAACGGGTGTGGCCCAAGCTCTGCAGGGTCTGTGGCTGGAAGGCATGTTCTTACTGTTGCAAGTACTTTGGGACCGGACCGCGGCCACCGCTGTGCACGGCACAGGTGACAGGGTTCACTGGATACTGCGGCTCAGGTACTGCAGGAACATGCTGGCCAACTGGGACAAGTTTTCGTCACTGGGCTGCATCTTGGTGTAGCTGATGAACTGCCTCCGCAGGCGGCTCAGCTCGGCCATGCTCACGGG